AACTGGCAGCCGCGCCGCTTAATGACTACGTTAATTAATATATTTGAAGCGTCGGCGACGTGGCTCGGGACGGTACGAGACCGACCGCTCGTCGGATTAGCATAAGCAAACCCGCCGAGGCGATTCTTTCGTGCACGCTGGCTAGAAGTGTTAATTCTTCGCTAGGCCGCGCAACGGCCTGGCAGTTTCTGATGTGAATAGGATTCCAGGAGGGGGAGATTGACGAGACACCGCACTAGGGCGCCGGTACAAGTCGCGAATAACAAAAAAAAATAAGAAACTGCAAGAAGTTACATAGAGAGAGAGAGACTACAGGATGAAAGTAGGTTTATAGCAGGTAGAAGGGAAACGAAAAATGGATGGTACATACATAACACGTTCATAAATTATTTCTAAGTTTGGAATATTTTTAGAACGAATATTTAAAAATCTGCTAATTTTAAATAAACTTGCAGAATTGGCTATATATACATATATAAAATGATACCATTTTGATAAAAAAAAAACAAAAAAAACGAGATAAATAAACAATATAATAAAAATTTAATTTTTATAAAATATATACATATATATAGGACAAATAAAAATATAATTTTTATGCAAATAATATCTAAATAATTATAAATCTTAAGCACGATATATGTTGAAATACTTTAAAATATATGTATCTATATAAAAAAATGTATATATAAATTTATCTATAGAAAAATATTAGTTATCGTAAATATTTTATTATTTCAAGTATTTTAAAATAAAATTTCGAATATTTTATGTATTATGTACATTTTTATATCACACAATGTACAATGATTACTAACGCGGAGATGAACGAGCAATTACTTTAACACAAATAATAAATTAAATTAATTATAAACTCACCCTGTAGCTGCTCCGCTGTCGCCCGGCGCTTTCCCGGACCGCTGTTTCCTCTCTTCTTTGTCGTTTGCTTTTTCATGGCACTCACACAGAATATTCACTCACGAAAACACAGTTAATTACGATCGTGGGCGCAATAATCAAAAGGATATGACGATTGCGAGGCACTTTGTACACTGCCCTACAATGATTCGTTCCGTTTCCCTAGTAAGGTGAACGTAGGAGTGGGGATGTCTATTCTATACAAAGTATTTCGACAGTGGGAGGGCATTGACGATGTGCGGGGTATGACGTGTTATTGTTTTGATATGCTGTCATGTTGTTATAATTTGTACGACGAAGCTCGAGTATATAGGAAGGCAATAACAGTCGCTCCGGGAATCGCTTCGTGTGTCGTCGTATTATATCTTTCGAAAAATATAATTATTCCAAATAATTATTACGATGAACATTTTATAAACGTATACTGTTTGTTAACAACAGAGTATAAAAATAATGCAATTTTTCTGACCGAGTAAATCGTAGTTTCGTGTGATCGTAATATTTTCAGTATGAGTATTTTCGCATTAATGTTCATCTTGTTAGGGAAACGGAACGAATCATTGCCGGGCACTATACGGTACTTTCGACATTAATCCCGCACGATACGTATTTTATTATATTAAGAATAAAGTATATTATAATTATACGATCTGTTTGGCGCACGTCTAAATTTATCGCAGCGATAATACTACCTCTATTACTCTAACGAATTGTATATTTATTCCATTTTAGTCGATTTTATTCTAATACTATGTAATATTAAACCGGCTGAATTAATGATTAGTAAGAACGCGATAAACCGTCGGGAAATATAGTGGGGGTGCCAGGTTAATAGGGGTTTGGCGCACGTCTAAATTTATCGCAGCGATAATACTACCTCTATTACTCTAACGAATTGTATATTTATTCCATTTTAGTCGATTTTATTCTAATACTATGTAATATTAAACCGGCTGAATTAATGATTAGTAAGAACGCGATAAACCGTCGGGAAATATATATAGGGTGTTTCAGGATTAAATGTCCTAACTTAAAACATCATATCGACATATTTAGAAATTTTCTCAGTAATATTTCTCAGTTTATTCGCTTTTAGACGCTTTTGCGAACTAAGCGTCATTATCCCTCGCATTTATTCTAATATTATTATTATTACTATTATTTATTTATTTTCTAAGAATAAAGTAGTTTAAACACACTATTATTTTATTTATTATAACTTGATAATAATTTCATAAAATTTTATAATGAAAATGTTTAGATGTTAATATCTCTTAAATAAAGCATACCTCCAGAGGAAAATGTTTTCTTTTAAAGTCCTAAATTCATATTTTAAGTTAGGATATTTAACCCTAAAACACCTTGTATATATTTTATATTTTATCAAATAAATAAATTGCGACAAATAGTATAATTTTTATGCAAATAATATCTAAATAATTATAAATCTTAAGCACGATATATGTTGAAATACTTTAAAATATATGTATCTATATAAAAAAATGTATATATAAATTTATCTATAGAAAAATATTAGTTATCGTAAATATTTTATTATTTCAAGTATTTTAAAATAAAATTTCGAATATTTTATGTATTATGTACATTTTTATATCACACAATGTACAATGATTACTAACGCGGAGATGAACGAGCAATTACTTTAACACAAATAATAAATTAAATTAATTATAAACTCACCCTGTAGCTGCTCCGCTGTCGCCCGGCGCTTTCCCGGACCGCTGTTTCCTCTCTTCTTTGTCGTTTGCTTTTTCATGGCACTCACACAGAATATTCACTCACGAAAACACAGTTAATTACGATCGTGGGCGCAATAATCAAAAGGATATGACGATTGCGAGGCACTTTGTACACTGCCCTACAATGATTCGTTCCGTTTCCCTAGTAAGGTGAACGTAGGAGTGGGGATGTCTATTCTATACAAAGTATTTCGACAGTGGGAGGGCATTGACGATGTGCGGGGTATGACGTGTTATTGTTTTGATATGCTGTCATGTTGTTATAATTTGTACGACGAAGCTCGAGTATATAGGAAGGCAATAACAGTCGCTCCGGGAATCGCTTCGTGTGTCGTCGTATTATATCTTTCGAAAAATATAATTATTCCAAATAATTATTACGATGAACATTTTATAAACGTATACTGTTTGTTAACAACAGAGTATAAAAATAATGCAATTTTTCTGACCGAGTAAATCGTAGTTTCGTGTGATCGTAATATTTTCAGTATGAGTATTTTCGCATTAATGTTCATCTTGTTAGGGAAACGGAACGAATCATTGCCGGGCACTATACGGTACTTTCGACATTAATCCCGCACGATACGTATTTTATTATATTAAGAATAAAGTATATTATAATTATACGATCTGTTTGGCGCACGTCTAAATTTATCGCAGCGATAATACTACCTCTATTACTCTAACGAATTGTATATTTATTCCATTTTAGTCGATTTTATTCTAATACTATGTAATATTAAACCGGCTGAATTAATGATTAGTAAGAACGCGATAAACCGTCGGGAAATATATATAGGGTGTTTCAGGATTAAATGTCCTAACTTAAAACATCATATCGACATATTTAGAAATTTTCTCAGTAATATTTCTCAGTTTATTCGCTTTTAGACGCTTTTGCGAACTAAGCGTCATTATCCCTCGCATTTATTCTAATATTATTATTATTACTATTATTTATTTATTTTCTAAGAATAAAGTAGTTTAAACACACTATTATTTTATTTATTATAACTTGATAATAATTTCATAAAATTTTATAATGAAAATGTTTAGATGTTAATATCTCTTAAATAAAGCATACCTCCAGAGGAAAATGTTTTCTTTTAAAGTCCTAAATTCATATTTTAAGTTAGGATATTTAACCCTAAAACACCTTGTATATATTTTATATTTTATCAAATAAATAAATTGCGAGAAATAGCTGCTTCGATAAATACTTGTCATTTCAATAGTCATTAAACGCTCATCTAAATAATCATAAAGAATAATTACAGTTAGAGAAATAACGTAACGCCATATGGAGCAACTTACACTGTTCGCTATGCATATGATAACATCGTCGATTTTTAATAATTATAAAGAAAAATCGTTTTTAACATCTCTTCATATTTATCGCGATCGTGGTTCGGAATATATTTAATATGACAATACGCGCGGGACAGCTCCTATTGCTGCCTACTCACTCGAAAGCTCGCGCGAATAATAACAAATCGACCAAGTGTTTATAAAAATTCGGCTCTCGGTGGCTGTGACGTATTAGCGCGCTGCGAATGTTTATATGTCGCGGCCTTGACATTCCGATGCCGCGACTCGGTAGCGACGCGAGCAGCTGTGTGTGTCGTCATATTACGTTTCGAACCACGATCGCGATAAGTACGAGGAGATGCGATCATTCTCTACAATTAGTACATTTAATGATAATCAGCCGGCCGGCGTAATTAATCAATTATCATGATTAACGTATTATAAGTATTGTAGCGACTATTTATCGAAGCAAATATTTCGCGTAATTTATTTATTGAAAGCAAAAATAATATATGTATACTTTCGGATGATACATACGTCGTGTCTTTATTAGTCATTGATATTTAACTTTTACTAGTACGTTTATTCACATTTGACACGATATAAGACTGCAATCGTTCTAAAACGAAAACGTTTGCAATGCCAAGCAGATTTAGTAATGTTTACTTCCTCTAATTGCAATATAATAAAGTACGTGTGTTGTGTGCGAGTACGTTAGTATTGTATAAATTATAAAATATAAAGAATCGTGCGATCGTTATATTTTACTGATTAGTGCGTGCGATCGTAATTAACTATGTTTTCGCGAGTGTCGTGTGAGGGAACAAGCTATGAAGGATTAATAAGAGAGGAGGAGGAGGCTCAGGGAGGCGTCGGGTGACAGCGGGGCAACCATGAGGTGAGCACAGTTTATCCAATTTATTAATTGTTAAAAAAATACAATATATAATTATTTTTTGGAATATTATTTGGACGCTATTTTATAATTTAAATATATATTTTCATATTTTACAGATCAACAATGTGTGCACTACAAATCCGCTGCTGCGCATCATACCGGTGAGTGTTAAATAATTTTTTATTTTACAATCTCAAGGTAATGGATTTGTAAAAAATATATATTAGATATTTATGAAATATCTACATAAGTAAAATGATGAATATCGAACAAAAATCGAATTTAACAAAAAAATATATAAATAAATAAATAAGGAGTGTTTGTATATATCCGACCCAACTGGCAATTTATTGTTTGATTGTGATCACATAAACCACTTTTTGACTGTTCGGAGAGCAGGAGCGCGGTCCAAATAAACGGTTTGAATATTTTTTTGTGCAATCCCAACACTCACGCCTTTCCGAAATTCATATAACATTACATGCCGCAAATGCACCTTTTCGTTCTCCATTTTTAATGATTTCTCTTATGCACAAATGGACTTATCTGAACAATGTCTGACGCTAAATTGACATAAGACAACGTCATCTATTCGGTGTAAGCAACAATTACCACACGAAAACAATAGAACTCCGCCATGCAGTAACTTAATGCCATCTATGAAAATCGGGCACGAACTTATGCAATCATCCAATATATAAACCAATATTACAATCAAAAGCAAAAATCACTTACAATCTTTATTTTTACTAGTCAACCGAAAGAACAATATTATGTAAAAGAAGTTCTCTAGCGCTGTCACTGACTCGAAATGAGAGATACAGGCGTTGTGTGGATCTTTTACATGTTTTGTCACATGTCAAACACGCAGACGCAAAATGTGAGACTCGCTATTTAAGATTTTGGAACATCAAGCAACGGAAAGTATGCATGGTCTAATAATTCTATTTCGTCCATGATATTAAGGCCGTTTCTTTATTTTTTTATGAAAATCGCCTCTGATATTAATCTTTTGTGATAATTGGATTCTTGGTCCAAAATCTTAACATTGTCCCTGTAAAAAACAGTTTTCAACTATTTGATTGCCTTTCCAATTTAAAGATAGATGAATCAGACATTTTAATTTCTCTAGATGTTGTCTCTTTGTTTACTAATGTTCCTGTGGATTTAGCATTGTCCGGGGTCAATGACAGATGGCCATATATACAGAAAATGACTGACATTCCAAAAAATGATTTCATCAACATTATCAAATTCATTTTAACATCCACTTATTTTACGTTTGACAATAACATTTACAAACAAACATTTGGCACCCCCATGGGTTCGCCATTGTCCCCCATCATAGCGGACATTGTTTTACAAGACATAGACGTTTTTATTACAATAAGTAGGACTAACGTCCTTGTGGACTCTAATGAAACGGTTGAGGCGATTAAAAATCGAATTATTCAAATCTTTCCATCAATTATCAGTTCTTAAAAATTTGAATTAATAATGATAAATATAATGATAAAAGATATTGTATATTATTTCTTCATATAAATTGTTTAATATCTAAATTTATTATTTATTTTTTAATATATTAAAAAATTGTGACAGTGTATCACATATAGATCCATTCCCAGACAGCACAAGGATGTCCTTAGGACGTCCAAAGGGCATCCAGGACATACATGTAGGATATCCTGAGGATATCCTATTTTAATCCTCGGATCTCCTCTGGATGTCCTGAGGAAGAATAAATGATAGCCGTACACTAGCCTCTAGAGAATCCAGGGAGATCCTGTGGAACACCTTAAGGATTTCTATAGGATATGTTAGGGATATTTTTCACACGTTAAAAAGAACAAATTCTAAAATTTAAATATAAATTAAGATTGCGTTCTGTTATTTACTGCCAATACTAAAAATCTAATACTAAAAATAGTTCACGTTCTTTAATATTTGAGGTTTTCGTGCTGTACATAAATATTTTAGGTTTGGCTTCCGGGTTTAAGTCGTGTAATATTTTCAAAACAATCCAATATCTGAATTCCCTATGTTGGGATTGCATCAGAAAAATTGAACTGATAAAAAATAATTATATTTTTAATTTCCTGTTAGTTGCTCTTTGCAAGCTTTATATAATTCTCATGACCAAATCTCAAATACGAGTTCGCGCGTCGCATAGCGGTAAACAAACGAACTAGCGGTTGAATACTATCCCAGACAGCACAAAACGTCCTCAGGATCATCCTGAATATGTCCAGGATGGTTCAGGATATTTGTAGGATGTTTTAAGATATTATTATAAATATATTTTATGAAAATTTAATATGCATACATGATTACTTTCGGTTATGTAGGCTATTTAATATAATTTAGAAATTTTAAGTATTGTAATAAGTATTAATGTCCTATAAATGTCCCCTGGATAACCCCTGGATGTCTGTAGGATATCTGCCCTGTCTATTATATTGAATGTCCTTTGGATTTCCAGAGGACATATACATGTGCAATTAATTGTTAACATTAATTTCGTTTAATATTAATAATTGAATTTGATGCGCACATTTTCACATATTCAAAATTATTATTTATTTAATATTTCATGAGAAATGTTACTATGCGCAACATTCCAAAAACCTTACAAAAAATAGTATTCAACCGCTAGTTCGTTTGTTTACCGCTATGCGACGCGCAAACCCGTATTTGAGATTTGGTCATGAGAATTATATAAAGCTTGCAAAGAGCAACTAACAGGAAATTAAAAATATAATTATTTTTTATCAGTTCAATTTCTGATGCAATCCCAACATAGGGAATTCAGATATTGGATTGTTTTGAAAATATTACACGACTCAAACCCGGAAGCCAAACCTAAAATATTCATGTACAGCACGAAAACCTCAAATATTAAAGAACGTGAACTATTTTTAGTATTAGATTTTTAGTATTGGCAGTAAATAACAGAACGCAATCTTAATTTATATTTAAATTTTAGAATTTGTTCCTTTTAACGTATGAAAAATATCCCTAACATATCCTATAGAAATCCTTAAGATGTTCCACAGGATCTCCCTGGATTCTCCAGAGGCTAGTGTACGGCTATCATTTACTCTTCCTCAGGACATCCAGAGGAGATCCGAGGATTAAAATAGGATATCCTCAGGATATCCTACATGTATGTCCTGGATGCCCTTTGGACGTCCTAAGGACATCCTTGTGCTGTCTGGGTTAAATTGTAATTGATACTCTAAGATTTGATTTATCTTGCGACTATCTTACAATATTTTTAATTCGCATTAGCAATACGTATTTTTATAAATACGTTGAAAATTCCGATCTTTCATGCGGATATATCAAATAATTGGTCTGTGTTGCGACGTCTTGTTAGCGAGATTGACCGCGTGGCTTAGTAATTGCGTCGGTCGCATCAGTCGGTAGTACCGTTTAACTCGCGCGCACATATATAATAAGTCTTTTCGTAAAGAATATAATGTTACGGTGCGCATAATTTCGAGGTAAACATATGCCGCATCTCCAAGTTTCTAACAAGCTATTGTTATATATTACACTTCCTGCAAGTCTTATATTCAACAAATATTTAAAATAATGCTATATTCTTAACGTATTTGAATATTGTCAATTTTGTTTATATTTATATTCACAAAAAACAAAGTTGCATAATTTAATAAAACAAAATAAAAAAAAAAGATAATTATTTTTTATAGTTTTTTTATATTTGATATGATTTCAGCTTCAGAAATGTTTTATTACATCACAATTCTGGAAAATACGAAGTTAGACCTATTTTTAATGTAATTTATCAAGCTACAGCTGTGGTATGTGACGTGCTAGAAAAGTTTCACTTTACGTTAAAAGTCAAGCATATCGTAAAAAGTTTTAACAATTTTTTTCGGAAAAATGTATTTCATAAAAATGTACTATACGAGAGAAAGAGAGTGAGAGAGATATCTCTGAATTTCCGCACGCGCAAACTGTTCGAAAGCAGGTTACGGGGCTAGCAGTCGGCGGTGAACAAAGTAAACAACAAAAAAAAAAGGCAGAAGAATAAAATAGGATCCTTATTCCGCGGGCGATGAAGCCTCGAGCGTGGAAGACGCCGCTTGAATTTCAACTCGGTGACTACCGCTCGTTCCGTTTATAAACACCCGCAAGGTGAAGTGGGCCGAAAGCGCGGGTCAGCGATTGTTCCCGTTCCGCGAAAATTTTTTCAAGAAAGCGGCGAGAGATCAAGGTCCGCCACTCCCAAAGAAATTTATTATCCGTAAAAGCAAAAGATATTGTATCCGAAATTTAATCGAATTCGCAATATCATCGGCAATCGAGAAGACGAAACTGACAGGTCACTGAAGGACATTCACAAATTGACGTTTCTCTACACGTGAAAAACAATATAAGAAATATTCACATTTTACGATAACAAATTTGTATAATTTTATATAGAATATCGAGTAAAAAAATATTGTGATACAAGCACTGAGATGATCCCTCGTGAGTAGGCGAGTAAAACTATCGAACAAGATTTTTCCATTAGTTGCACTGCTTTCGAAAAAAAATTATACATTCGGTAAAAAATAACACAGTTCTCTTGATAAAAGATAAAATCTTTTTCAAATCCA